TACATACATATAGGCTATTAATTAGTGATTAATATATACAAATGAATACCTTTTGATACCTAAAATAAAATTGTATATCATATTGTTAATAAATAATAATATTATCAATTATGTACATGTTTAATTTTAATCATATTTATAGTTACCTATATATAACTTAAAATTTAAATTGTTAAATTCTTAGAATTTTTCAAACACAAATTGTCAAAGGTAATAAGTGATTGTGAAGAAGTTAATAGTGTGGAAGTAGTTCTTAAATAATTAGGTAATTTAACTTGACTCGGTATTGAAACAATTTAAATTGTTATACAAAATAATTATATAGTCACCTATACAGCGTATAATTCCTTTCGGCTTTAACTTAATTAAATTAATCGTAATAAATCTGTCGGCACTAATAAAATATTCCAATAGATAGTATAAGTAAAATATAGCCAATATAGGATTAAATAAAAAAAACTAAATTGTACGAAAAATAATGTTTGGTTTGCAACTTTATTGAAAATGTTAACTATATTATTTTAGGACAATATAGAGTATAGATTATGTGTTTATGTAATATATCTCTATGATTTTTATTATTCATTCATCAAATAGTCATTATAATTTAAATAAGCTGTATTGCAGCATTTATAAAATGCTAAGAAACTTTATTATTTGTTTAAACATTTAATAGGTTTATATTAAATAATTTAATCTGAATAAAAAATAAAAATACAATTAATTGAAAAAATGAAAAAATAAAAAAAAATAAATATTTTTGGTTTGTAAAGTAAGATATAATTATTAAACTATTTTAAGTTGTCTGGAGAATACACATCGGCTCCAGCAACACCAGTTCCTTTTGAATCTCCCAGCCATGGATATTTCTTCGGACACTCTTTACATGTTGACAAATATCTGAAATTATAATTTATATTCATCATTCATTTTTTCATCTAATATCATACAAAACAACTTAAATATAATATTTATTCTTCAATCAAATTAACGTAGATAAATACGAACATATTATGAAATATACTATAATTTATAATATCAATRCTATAAGATGTAGGTATGTTACGTGAATTGTAAAAAATCCAGTATTCTGTACATTTTCCGAGAGTTATTCAATTAAAATCTTTGAATTAAKWAGATATTTGTGTAAATAAATTATGTAGTAGGTTAGGAAAAATACAAAATAAACTGTTGAAACTACAGTTACTTCTTTATTTAATTTCTTATATTAGCTTATCGCACTTTTATAATTTATAGATAAGTTATTCATACAAGATATAGATAGGAGATAGTGGTTGTATAACTTGGGTTACTAAAAACTWTATGAATATAATAAATATTGTGAATGTACTGGATAATAATTGTCATATATCTATATTTTCTATTATTATAATAGAAAGGTAGGTTGATATTTTCAAATTCAAAAATATAAATTGTAAGTCTAGTGCTTTTGTTCTAGTTACTTAACTATACTTAGTWAAACGAAGTACAGTGTAGTTAGATGATTTAGTGCTTACATCAAAATGGTTTGRAAGTAATATGTATATGAGTAAAACATAATGATAGAATATGTTGATMTAATTAAGCCTGAAAATTKTATTAGAAGCTCAGTTTTCTACTTTAACCGTACTTATACTTATTATAATAAATTACCTCGTTCCGGATACATTGGTTTCCGGATGCTTAAAGGATAATGGACATTTGTTCGGTAAATTACATGGTGGYGAAGGTAATTGATCGGGTTTATCACACATCCACGGTTCAAATCCAGCCAAATCTTTGGTGGTCTTTGGGTCAGTCATCCAAGTTAATGCTTGTGTAGTTGTGACAAACCATACGTCTGGCCTAAATTTAAAATTTAGTTTTAATTACCTAGTTAAGTTGTTATCAACCCGTGCAATTATATGAATATCGATTACTGTTTATTTGCCCAGTCAATGAACTTGTGGAGTCCATCTTCAAGTTCTTTAATTTGGAACCAGTTGGTGTGGAAAGGCATCATATAAGGCGCTCGATTTTGCGAATAATACCGGTCAAAATCTTCACGAAGCCATTCGAATACTTCATTAGCATCATGACTATGCAACACACATTGATCTAAGTACGGGCAGTGACCGCCTTCGTAAGTCGCCACGTAATGAGCATTCAAAGGAACTTCCCATGTACCTACAATTATTAATAAAAAATGAAAATGTAATATTAAAATTTACATTAATTAAAATAGAATGAAATTATCAAACTCAAATTGATTATACTTAAAAWTTTTTTTTCTAGAAATTAACCTTTAAATGATTTGGTTGGGCAAGTTCCAGATTTACATTCGTGTGGAATCTTATAATCTAAAGAGTATGGCCATATTGGTACCCTTGACGGAGGTATACCGATTGAACTATCATATACAAACCCGTAGTCTTCAATTACCTAGAATAATATAAACATATTAAATCATTGTCAGTCATTAGAAAGTTCCGAACATATCTCAGTCGTTTTGTTTTAATAAATTTATGTATATTATTTTGAAACTATTAATGTATTCTATTACATTTCTATTACTATTCTATTATAAATCTTTAATTCGTTGTATATATATAAATGAGCATTATATAGAAAAACGGTAAAAACCTCGTATTGTGTGTTTCTACCAGGCTTCAGGAATGGTGCTCTCATGCCAACTATATCGCTTTTGGTTAAATTTGCAAAGTTCACTAAAATCTCTCTCATTCCAATCATTTCAGCAACCCACTCTTCATATCCCTTATCATGTAGGCCTTTTTGTAATCTACAAACATACAGTTTAATAACTTTATTTAATGAATATGTATATTATTCATCATTAGAATATTGATTTTATAGCACAAAATCCATAGAATAAGCATTTAAAATAAAGCAATCAATCTTTAAGACTAGGTATAACAGCAAATTTATTTTTATTATTTATTATTTTAATAGTTAAAAAACCAACTTATAAATCGTTAAATAATAATTTAACATAATAAACTAAATGCATGTAGGTACACAAGACTACTGGGTTTCAATTTAATTTCAGAGTAAAAGTTTATTATATATGTTTTTAAAATTAATCAGAACTCTAACGTTGATTTAATCTTTAAAAGGCATTAAAAAGACCAAAAAAAACATGAAAGACGAAATAAGCAAAATGTTGTGTATTTATTCGGCGTTACTTGCATGAAATATAAATCCGATAAAGTTTCATTTCTGATATGGTAGAAAAAAATCTAATCCCTACTAATATTATTAATTAATATTGAGGCTTTATAAATATCAATAGTTTAATTTTTCAACGTTATATAAACTTATAAACCTATTTGATTATTTGAGTATATTATATAATATTGTTTATTTGTATCCACTTACGACACAGTTTCAACAGCAATCTCATGGCCTCTATGTGCGACTTCTTGTACCATGTTATAGTCACAGTATTCATGGGATATAAAGAATGTACCTTTAATGAGACATCCATTAGGATTTTTCTTATTCTGGGAAAATACTTTTTGATAGTGATTTTGATAATTATTTTGATTTAATGCTCCGTCAAATGTCAACAGTATCATTTGAGGTGTCTAAAATCATTTTTTAAGTTTAAATAAATACAATAAAAACATTATTGTTCTGACTGTCAAAAAAAATACCTCTTTTGGATCCAAACCACCGGGTATGATGGTTCCATCTCTAGAGCAAAAACAATAAGGTAATGTACACTGACTCGTGTCACATTTTTGAGCTAAATCGATAGGATTCTCTGTACTTGGAGCTTCAGCTAAATCAAATAATGATAATTCATTGTTATAGTATTGTATTTTAAATATTAATATAAATAAAACTTACTTGTAGGAAGAGGTCCACACCGGGCCTCATTTTTAAACGTACATAACTTGTTAACATCATCAAAGTATAAGCCCGCTGGGCAACGATTTAAATATGGAAAATTATCTACACACTGAAATTATGATTGCGTTAACAAATATATTATACACATATTTATCGAATGTCAAAAATACCTGATAAAATCGACGACATGTGGCTGGATCAGCATAATTTCCGTTTCCACCGACTTCAGGGCAGACAAAAGTTTCTTCAGCAGTTTCACACAACGCTAAAAATTGATTAATTAAAAACATATTAATATTAAGTAATATTGAATTACAATTTTATCAATTTCTATTACTCCTTTGTACAATTATTATAATTTATAACATATAAGGGCAAAAAATATGAAGGTTTTTATCGTAATATAGGTACTTTGTATTTAAATAATACCTACAAATTATATAACATTATGGAATTTCATTATAATTATAAAAGTATAATAAATATTGTGTAGTTATTAAGTTACAAGGTTATTCTCGTTCACATTATTTTTTGTATTAGATTAAAAATATGGAGATAAATCAATCAAAAACAATAAACCAATTTAGATTTATACAAATAAAAAGAAAAAATATCAAATACAGACAAAATAAACCTGTTATGATAAAAAATAAAACCGATAAATGCAAACAATTTGCATTAGTTTTAGGTGTGTAAAAATTTAGTTAACAACCTAGCTCTTCTGGAAATTTATTTGAATATTATAATTCTATCACATTCAATACGAAGTCACAAAAGGAATACTGGTTATTTTCGAATTGGTAACCGCATTAATTTCTGCTAAAACGATAAATTGTGAGTAATAAATTGAAATCAATTAATGGATATTTAGTACAAAAATATTCAATTCTTAAAAAA